ACGTCAGGAGCTGTGCTTACCTCTGTGAAGTACATGTTACATATTGCTAAATGCTGAGGTTTCGGTGCTTTATCCCGGCTCGGTTCAAAGCCAGCGACTGCTGTTGTCCCCAGCACAGGGATGGGCTGAGGGGGAAGATGGATCTGGTGCTGCAGTGCCCCTGGTTCCCTGCTTTGGTTGGTGAAAGTTGGGGAATGAGGATCAGAGACTGGGTGACTGTGGATATACAGCATCCCCTCACCTTTGTTTTTTGTTATAGTTGCTGTTTTCTTAGCGAAGCCAACCTCCTTAGCCGATTTCCAGGCCTTTATCCTTCTTGGGCTGTTGTGGTGCCTTCATCCAGACACAACTGTGTGAAATACACTGCTGCCAGGGGAGGAGTTGCCTGAGGAAAGGAGTGAAAAACAGTGTCATTAAACCAGCCCGACCTTTGTGTTTGGGCATTCTGCAAGTTTTCTCTTCAGTCAGTTTAGAGTGTATCTGTAAACTAAGTGACAAGATCAAGCTGATTGATTGAAATTAGGTTTAAACCCCCGTTAAAATCCTGTCCTGCATGAAGTAGGGCAATGTAAGTAACCTATTATTATTGTTTATTTTTTTAAATGCTCTTAGTTACACATTTACAAATCTAGACTCAGTTTTATCAGTTGCTCAGCAAGCAGCAGGAAAAGGTTTGTTTCTGAAAACATTATCTGAGGGAAACCTGGCTATTCCTTTAAAAATTGGAAACTGGAGATGAATGGTAGCTTATATGTGTCCTCAATTTATCCTGCTAGGTAAGACAGAAAATGGAAGAGCAGGTTGCTCAGAAATCATCTGAACTGGAACAGTATTTACAGAGAGTACGTGAACTGGAAGAAATGTATAAGCAGCTACAGGAAGCTTTGGAGGATGAGAAACAGGCACGTCAAGATGAAGAGACTGTAAGGAAACTTCAAGCCAGGTATGGCTTTTACCTAGTGGAGATTTATTTCAATTCCCCACTCCCCCCACCATCATAAATAACTGTGCCCTACTGTGAAAGACTGTTTGCATCTTGGACACACTGCTGGAACTAGCTGGAAGTCCAAACACAGGATAGATTTTTTTTCTTTTTTCCTTAAGCTATGAAGGCTAAAGATGGTATTGATATTTTAATAGACATTTTAATTGATATTTGATCAATATTAAAGCTGGTATATGATATGTTGATGTGTTTGATTAGCCCTTAGCAGTGGGAGTGCTCAGCAGTTTCCAAAAAGCAGGCACACTTATTTTTATCAGGTGTTTTGCATGTCAGCACTTGAGAAATCAAGCTCCCTCTGTACAGACTGTTCAGTTGTGTGCTCTGTAAAGCAGTAACTCTAAATGTGACTTTCTGCAGCATTTTCTCAGAGGTTTAAATTGTAATTGCTAAAGGGTTAAGTCTCCTCTTATTCATATGGGCTTTGTTTAGTGTGGTTCATTTCTTCATGTATTCACTCCTCCTAAGATAACTAAGCTAACTTATGCATGCTTGTTTCTTCTGTGGTTTTCAGTGTTGTGTATTTACATTATTGACTAAATTTTCTGAATAGCCCTTTATAGCAGTTAGACTGGTTGCAGTGCTGGCATGCTTATCAGCTTTGCACTGAAGACAAGCCAACAAGCAATGACTTTTTCCCTGTTTCCCAGGCTTTTTCAGTTTTGGTTTTTGTTTTATTTTGGGTTTTTTTTTAAAGGAAAGAAAAGATAATTAGCTTGCCCTCCTTACTTGTATGCTACATAATTGATACAGTTTACTTACAAAGTAAAGTAAACTGTATTGATTTACTTTTATTCACAAGTCCAGTTAACATTGCAATCCTCATTGCAGATTACTGGAAGAGGAGTCAGCAAAGAGAGCTGAACTGGAAAAATGGCACTTGCAGCAGCAACAGACCATTCAGATGACAGAAGCAGAGAAGCAAGAGCTAGAAAACCAGAGAATGATAAAGGAACAGGCTCTTCAAGTTGCTATGCAGCAACTGGAACAGCTTGAACTGGAAAGGAAGGAGGCCCTTGAGCAATATGAGGTGAGCTGTTCTGTTTGTCAGCCTCATACTTAGCCAGGTGCTCAGTAGTTTAACTGAATTTGAGGTTCATCAATATCATGCTGCTTTAAGGATTAGTATGGCACAAAAATACCAATAGCTATATTATAGGACAGTTATGTATGGCTTTGGTTTGTTTTGGGTGTTTTTTTGCCTAGACCAGCAGACACATTTGAAGAGGAGGACACGTTTCAGACACACCACCTCCTTTAGTCTTTCGTCCCAGTCACACACAAGCTGGCTAAGTCATATCCTGAAATACTCTGTATCCATCTGTCTTCTATCGTACACTAACTACTCTTATGTAGTCCCACTGCTGTCGTAACTAAATGCCTGATGCTTTTGAATTAGTTATTCTTGCAATGTTTTGATAATGTCATGGGGTAATATGAAAAATCAATGTGCTACTGTAGGTCCTTGCTCCTCAAAAAGGTATTTATTTAAGCACAGAAGTGATTGATAGCAGGAATGAGCCCAGATTCTCAGTGTGTAGCGGTGCCTCACGTCCCAAATACCAGGCCTGTTCTCTGCTCTGCTGAGTGGTTTTGGTGAAGGCCAGTGGCTGTATTCATGGAAGAAATGAGGGAAGCAAGTAGAGTCTGAAGTGCTTTCTAGGGCTAGGGAGGTGTTGATCCTGTGTGTATTTATGTCAGGAAACAAAACATGACTGGATTTCTGTGTAACTAGGGAGTGTGTTTGTGCTGTCTCTGTGTGCTGGAGGTTAGCCCTGTGAAGGACAGGCTAGTGAGCTGTCTCGACTGGCACAGAATACAAACACTGCAGTCACTGCAAGCAAGGGCCCAGGTGGGGCACTTCTGGCCACTTTACAACTTACCACGTTGGTGTTACATCCAGCACCACCATATTACTTTCAGCTCATACCTGACTTTTTTTTTTTAGCTGACATCTCGGGCCTTCTGTATATGAAACATCATTTACTACTACAGAGAAACTGCTGAATACCACAGACATAAAAAAACCTAAAACCAAACAAAAAAACAAGCAAACAAAAAAAATCCACAAAAGAAATGATGGACTAGGTCACTGCAATAGTTGACTCATTACTTCAGAAATAATTAAACGTTCTGGCCTTCCATTTGGAATTGCCCAACAAACTGGTTTGGACTGAAGAACTCCTCTCTCTTGCTGGGCTGTGACAGCAGGCGTCCTTTTCCTAGCTTACATGTTATGATTTCTGATAGAGGTGCCCCCTAGCTCGCCTCAGTTTGGAACAGAAAATACATCTTTCTGTTTTGAAACTGCAGTTTAAGCTTTCAGTCTTTATGAAGACCAGCCCTACTTATGCAGCTAGAGAATCTTGTAAAACCCAGTTATTTTGGGATTCTATGTTGACAGCTTACTTTTATAGAGCTAGTGACTGACTGGTGGTTAGAAATGAAGTTTTCCCGTCTACACTAAATGGAGCGGTGGCTGAATTAGCGTGGTTCTGTCTTCAGATTTAAAAGGATGTGTTTGCTTTTTGTATAGACAGAGGAAAGTTGTTCTTGCTTTTCAAGTGGGCTATGTCTTATTTCAGGAAGTTAAGAAGAAGTTGGAAACAGCAGCTAATAACACCAAGAGTTGGAAAGATAAAGTAGCTCATCATGAGGGATTAATTCGACTAATAGAGCCAGGTAAGTTATCAACAGAAAAGTTACAAAAAAATCTGTATTCATTCTGCCTCTGCCTTACTGAAGTCTGCCTTTTCCTGTAGCTTATTGGTTTGACAGCAGCCTATAAATATCACATTTGTGAGAACTGCTGCTGGTAATGTTCAAGTCTACCTCTGCTGGCCCTACTGTAACAAGGAAATTTTTTTAATTCTTATTATTTGTTTATTTATTTATTTCAAACAAAGCAAGGATCAACCTGAACATTGCATGGTTTGAGTGATTAATGACATTAGCATAAATGCTAATTGCCAAAAAACATGAACTAAAGATAGCTAAAATATTTAATTGTTTGGGAAAAGTTCAATTTCTTACCTTAATTAACAGCATGCCAGGTCAGGGGGAAGTGGCTTTGTAATGCAGTGCTGGAGAGATCACTTTCCTTCAAGGACATCTCTAGAGGCAAGAAGAAGAGGGGTTCACTAAGATAGATACCACTGTTTGGGGTGAGGGGGAAGTTAGGAGGTAAGGATGCAAAAGGTTGTAGCAGTTGACAACTTCTCACAGTAAGCATCTTCACTGATGGTGTCCCAGGCATTCCCCCCCCTTGGTTAGGCAGGTCCTCAGGTCACCTTTGAGAGGGTTTCCAGCCACAGAAGAGACAGTGCTCCCCAAATCATCCCGTGGCGACACTGGGCCTGTCCCCTCGATGGCAGGTGAGCAATGTCCCTGTCAGAAACACCTGTTTCAGGTACTGCATTCTGTCTTCCAGGTTCCAAGAATCCTCACTTAATCACAAACTGGGGCCCGGCCGCCTTCACTGAAGCTGAACTCGAGCAAAGACAAAAGAGCTGGAAAGGGAAAAAAGCCACTTCTGAGTAACGACAGTAGCTGAGGTACCACTCGTGACTAGAAGCCCACCTTCCCTCGTTCTGCTTTGCACAGAGCAGCTTCTTGCTTATAAAGTCATAGTTTGCTCAGCAGGTTGGGCCTTTCTTCAGAGGAAATCCTGTTAGCACATAGGGGTGTCTGCTCAGAGCTCAGTAATTACAGTATACGGTGTCTGACAGTACTTGCCGTTTTCCCTCACGTTTCCAGAAATTCTGTTCTTTTATACAAAACTTTTCAACTGAAGATTTTTATTTAACTGTAGCTTGTGACAGTCTCGTTTCTGTACTAGCCTGTAACAATCTGACAGCATCTAACCGACCAAGCAGTGTCACTTTCATTCCACAAAGGGAGAGAAGCAATTGTTTCAGTGGTTCAGTTAATGTGATTTAATCCCGGGATAAATCAGTCCTGGAGGTTCTGTCCAGCTCTGAGACAGAGCATTACCTGTCCTTCCATTGAGTCTCCTTTTATTTTTGCTCTGTCTGTTGCTCTTCGCACAGTGCTCAGTGCTCAAATAGATTCTTCCTTAGCGAGGGCAGACTGGCATCACTGGGTACCTGCTGGATGGTTGGATTTTGTGTCCTGTTTTCCTCTGCTTTCAGGAATCCAACCAAACAAACTGGAAACAGCCACGTACAAAATGCTGCTGTAGAACATTTGAAAAAAGTAGTCATGCAAGATTGTTCTTGTACTTTCTCATACTTCAGAAGTGCTAAAAAAACCCCTCTGAGAGGTCACTTCATTGTTTAAAAGATACTCAGTTTTGACTTACAGATTTCTGGAGCAGGTGAGTGGAAGATGATAGCACATACAGGCCCAATATCTTCTGCATCAAGGCTGTGTTTGTGCAAGAAATCTGGTTAGAACATACCACTGTTTTAGATGCAGCACTTCTGTCTTAGTCTTAATTGGAGGCCAGATTTAAAAAAAAAAATCCAAGAAGAAAACTAAATTTGACATTTTTATTTTAGATAAAAATGATAAATGTGTAGCGATAGTGCTTTAGAGAAAATTAATTCCCGTCAATAAAATAATTTCAAGGTTTCTAGTGACAAGGCTTCCCAAAGAGCCTCCTGCTCTGCCTCAAAATTCTCTCCAGGGACAAAGCCAGAACAAGTCCATGACTTTGCTTTGTCCATCTCCCCACCAGACATGAAGTCAGTTGGCTGGTCAATAAAACAGTTTTCTTGCTGAACTGTACAGATGTGTTGAGAACCGAGTTCCACCTCCCAAAGAGCAGGTGCCATTGGTGTGCCCTGTTAATCAGCTTTGGCTGTTGTACGTACACTGACCTTGGACATACATCTCTCAGCACCTGCTTTTTAGTTCAGCTCAATGTTAAATTATTTTTGGTAAAAAAGAAGCGAGTGTTTCAGCTGGATAACCAGTGCATTTATGTGCAGCACTGATTTACTTGGATGTCAGCGGAGCAGAAGCTATACAGAAGTGATCTTCACATTTGGAAGTCAGTAGCATTTTATTTGCCTATTAACTAAGACTCACTCACATACTGAATCTTCTCAGACATTTATTCTCTGGTTATATTTTTATACTAATTGAAATCTTTAATGTTTCAGTAAAGGGAGTGCTGATGAGAATGGCAGGAAAATCCAGGATCTTCCTATTTGTATTTACTGTACAGGAAAGCAATAGTTCCTTAAGCTTGCTAACGAGGCATTTTTTAAAATTGATTATGTTTACAGAAGAATTTTTTTTTTTTTTTTTAAAGAAGGGTAATAGAAATACTAATGTATACATTGTTAAAGTTTGCTAAAGGAGATGGAACAGTATTTATAACTACCAAGTATCTTTTATGTGGAGAGTAGAAGGTGTACTGGGGCTAAACTTGTTTAATTTTTCTAACAGTCTTTATTTTGGACAATTTTTTTTTTAAGAACACCAAATGATGCATGTTTTCATATTTTGTACTGTTCTTTAGAATTGGCTATTTAATAAAGTAATACAAAGTCATTTACATTTCTGAATGAATTGGTCTTTTTGCTTGAGTTTCTTTTGGGTTACTGGAGTTCAAAAATCCAGAAACTAACTGTTGTGTGGCAGTGTTACTGTGACGGAAGAAATGTACTCTTAACAGTCTGATCGCTGGGGTTTGGGTTAAAGCCATAACAAAGGCAGTGGTCACACAGATAATACAATATCATTTGTCTTAACAGCAACACTCCTCTTACCTGTTGATGTCCCGCACACCTTGGTCCAGTGTAACGATGCTCAGCGCTTACAGGTGACGTTGCTCAGTAACAGGGGTGGGAGGGTGCAGCTTCGCTGTTTCCTGCAACATGAATGCACAGATAGAACAGCTGCACCTACACTAACACATCGAGGCTGAGTGTGAGCCTGGGACCAGGGCAGACCTGCTCTGACCATCAAGCTAATGGTGGGGGGAAGGGTGTGTGGATGAGGGTACCTTGGCCCATACAGACATGTGCCTCTGCAGGCACAACAGCCTGTCATTAAAAACGTCATCCACATACATCTGTCTGGGTTACTTCTTAGTCACCAAGTAGAATAGGAAATGAGACAAGTCTCCTTTTAGCTTTGTTGTCCTTGCTTCTTGCTCTGACAAATTAAGAAAGCTTTGGCTGAAGCGTGGCACAGTAAAAGGGGGGGGCGGAGGTTGGTTTAAAAATTAACCAATTGAATTTTGAGCAACACTACCACCTCAGAGTGAGACCATTAAGGCTACAGCAAACACAGCATTCAAAGAGAGAGTGGGGCTGTGAGTCAGAGTCAGCACATCTCATGAAACAGTGCAGCATGGAAAACTGCACCCATGGTGCGGTGTCATTTCCCGTGAGCCCAAAGGTCACAGCGTGCTTACGCCAAGAAACCAACAAGGCTGCTAATGGTGAGGATATTGTCAAGGAAATGTGACATCTGTTCTGCCCCGAAAAGCCTCACAACATCATAGTGCCCTGCATACATGGCAGCTTACCTGTGCAGAGGCCACTGGAAAGCTGTGTCTGCTCTTGAACCCTCAGCAGATGCACTGGAGGGCTTAGTCCACTTGTGTCTGCCAGGTTGAGGTTTACCTGCTGCTGATGCTGGAACAATCCTGAAAACCAGTAAAAAGAAAAAAACCACGGTACAGTGGTAAGACAGGATTCTTTTTATTTTTTTTTTCTGCCTGGTGACCATTTACAGAGTTGATTTATGAGACTGTTGCAGCCTTAATTCATGTGTTCCCGAACCGTAACAGGCAGGTTTCCAGCAACTTGTATTAGTTCTGTTTAACTTTCCTGCATGAAAAGCCAGAAAACTAAAGCCTGTGTGGGAAAAGAACAGCATGTTAGGAAAATATCTGTATCCTGGGGTGGCGTTGACAACTCGGCCCCAAAAGAAGCAACTGCTCCGTCATGCAGGCCTTCTGGAACAGTGGCCACGCCGTCCTTTTCAGTAAAAGTGAGCTGAAAATAACTGATTTTTATCTTGAATATGTGAAGCAGTTAAATAAACAATATTTGAGCAAACCAGGGCATAGCCAGGAAAGGGGATATCCATAAGGTCTTTTAGCTGCTTTGGGGAGGAGAGGTAATTCCTGTTCGTGAAGTAAAGGGCAGAGAAGGGGAATTACAATGTGCCATGAAGTCTCCAGTGGAACGAACATCTCCCGCAAACCCAGGAGGACTGCGGTTCCCCCCCGACCCGTGAGGGACTGTCCCACTCCGCCTGCGCTCCAAGGGTTGTTTGAGAATTGCTCTCTCTCT